TGATAATACAAGTTCCTGCTCTTTTCCAATGCAATAACAGAAAATGATGACAGTTACTCTTCTAGCCAAGAACAATATTGACAATATTAACTTGTCAACACTAAACAACAAGAAGCCTGCTCGGCCTGTTCGACACTCCTCTTTGTCTGTGTTTCCAGGTTAAACAACAAGCAGCAGTAGACCTTAAAAAAAGACACATACCTTGACTGTGGCAAGTTCCCTTCCAGCAGAGGAAAAAATGTGAATGATGGGTTTATTAATAGCTGATCCTTGGACTCGAGCAAAATGCTTGTCACCTCTTATCAGAGCTGAAAATTTTAAATACAACAATTACAAACTATTCCTTCAAAAAGGAAATCTCAATGTGGGGGGCTGCAGGACATGTAAGTATTTAGGTGTACCGTCCTCACCCCCATGTACAGTTGTGTAGGAGCTGCTCGTAAGGTCTCTCCTAATTGGTCGCAGAAAACAATGACGTCATTCTTTCAATTGTTTCAGTATTGCTTGGGGTCAGGGTTAGGCACCATTGGTGACTTCTCTTCTGAGCAGCTGCTACATGACTCCCCATGTATGTAGAAGAGTACGTGAGTTAGCAATGGTGTGCATTAGTGATTAAACCTACTTAAATGGGGCAATTTAGCATGGAGCCCTTCAATTATTTTTTTTTAACTATTACTGACAGTTAAGCATCTACATACAACACAGCTGGACTGCAGGTTGAAAGTAATGAAATTTTTTAATATTGTATCAATTGAATGTTTTATGCACCAGCTGTTCTAAAATAATTAGAAGCAGGATGTTCTTCAGAGTTGTTTTCTTCCTTTAAAATCCCTTGACATGTAAAGACAGTTGACTGAAACAAAATTCTGGTACAGTATAATGGACTCTTGCTGATATAGACATAACTTACAAATTAATGCCGGTACTTACAGCGCTGTTAAGAGCATTTCTGTGGTTCTGACTCTTAAACATTTACCCTGGTGAGTCCTATTTACACTACGATAATGCAGGGAAATGAAACTTGTATTCCCTGTACAGGTTAAACAACACTTAGAGGAAGTCTGATGTACTTACCTATTGGACCACCAAAAGGTGCTGCACTCACAATAAACCGGGATAAATCCACAGCATCTTGCCACTCCATACTGTACAGCTCTACTTTCCTGTTCAAGACAAACACATTTTGCGAAGAAAACTTCTGCTGTAATTCAATTATGGCTACAGTGTGTACATTTAAAATATTTCTCCATCCCTGATTGATTGGCTTAAATTCCATGGTTGCCCGGGTATTTCTTTCCTGAGCCTGCTGGTTATTTGCCAAAATTGAAAGAAGTTTGCTTTGATTTAAAGGCTGGTGTCAATAGTAAAGTCTCAGACAGGAAAAAGTAAAAAAAAAAGATTAAAGGTGTGTGCAAGCCAAAGGCCTCAAGAGGGTGGAGCTTATGCCAGCTTCCTTAGCATGAAGCATGAATATAGGAGTCTTGCCATTCCCCGTTCCCCGCTAGATGGGATGCTAGTCCATCGCAGGGTCACCCCCTGGCAGTATTTTGTCGGTATCCATTTATACACCTGGGTGAAGAGAGACAAAGTGGTGTAAAGTTCCTTGTCTAAGGAAACCATTCGAAACACGAGGATTGAACCCTGTCCCTCCAGATCTGGAGTTCAAGGTGTTAACCGTTCTGTCAGACACACCTCCAAACTGGAAAAGGATGCACAGAAATCAAGCAAAGAAGCAGAGTGATGGTTTGGCTGTTTTGTTGCTGAAGACCAAGAGTAAATGGTAGAAGATTTCACATGTTATGGGTAGATTAATGCCTGAAAACTGAGTAACACTGAGCAAAACGCCCCGAACATTATGCACTTTAAAACTACAAGCACATCATTGCAAACGCAGACGCATAAATTGCGATGGAAAACCACTGACACAGGGGGCACTGGAAATTATCCCACAACAGGCCTAGCACAGTAACATGAACCACGGCAAAAACAAAAGAGCATAGGATAACTGCCAGCTCGCCAAAGCACACCAATATAAAACAAACGTCAATGCCATGCCATTGCCACGCTAAAGCCAAGATAACTACTGAGCAGCTACTGGAGCTCCTCATCGTTAACTAAGTTAAGTAACTATCTTTAACCCATTAAATTTCCTGACCTTCTCCCTCAAAAACTAACACAAAATGAAGTAACACACAAAGGCACTGAAAACTACCATTTGAAGAATATCAGCAAGAAAATTATATCCCCTCATAATCTGGAACTGGCAAAAAACAGGCAGATGTTTGACTACTGGAATTTTACATAGAGGTAAGGACGTCTTCAGCTTGGAGGAAATATTTTGAATGAATGATAAAACAATAATAGGTACAGTCTGATCTGAAAAGAACCACTTACCTATAAAATACCTTTCCAAGTGGATTCCAATCAACTGTAACGTGAGCCATGTTATTCTCTGAGAGTGAATGAAACGAGTAGCAAGTGTAATCGGTGTAGTTTATCCAGGGTCTAATAAGTGCAACATGTGTAAAATTCTGGTGACAGCAGATCCACCATTTTGTTTGTGCATCTGCACATCAACTGCTCAGCAGACCCTGTCACAAATAGAAAATCCCATGTTTCCAATCGGGTAATAATTTTCTTCGTGTAAGCATACATGAAGGAGGTTGAGAGTTTTCAAGATGGCTGTCCCCAAAGCGAAGGGCTATCGGCCGAGATGCTTCTTTGATGTTCAAATAAATGGATCTCCAGGTAAGAAACGTTAAATTCCTCGGATAAAATGTTTGCATGGGCTGCTGTTTTTCAAAGTCAAGTCATTTGGCTAGAGAAGCGGCTGAAATTCAGGCCATAACTCAATAATAATTATTGGAAATAATCAAGCTCGTGTCTAGATAACCTACAGCCGAAAACTGTTTCGGCATTCAGAAATTTTGAGCAATTTTCTCGAAATAGCTCGTTTAATTCTTCTAACAACATAAGGTATTTGTTGAGAAATCTCAAGCGATTATAAATATTGCCTTGGGTTAAAATAGTCAGGTGGCTAAAGGCTCAGATCTATACAGAGCGGACAAAAGCACCAAACTTTGCATGGTTGTAGCTTAGGGCATGTTAGTCAATATTAGGATCGGTGCCCACAGCTACCTCTTCAGGATTTGCAGCAACTGCTCGCTTCAACAACCTTCCATGATGGGTTCCCTGTGCTAAAAATTGCAATTACTTGTTTTTTGCCATTTTTTGATGAAAATCGCGTAAAAAGGGAAGTAGATTAAAAAAGAAACTGTATTAATACCATTATTATTGAAAACAATGACTAAAACAAGTCTACTTAATGATATAGCAATTATGATATACCATGGTGGGTATCCTGTGCTAAAGATATCAATTCCTTTTTTTGCCATTATTTTGATGAAAATCACATGAAAGACAAGAAAATAAAAAAAGAAATTGTGTTATTATTGAACCAATGACAAAAACAAGTCAACTAAATGGAAAATCCAAGGAAAATGTTTTCAGACGCGTACCCAGTCTCAAATAGCCTTTTAAGATGGCGGCTTGAAGGTGTCTTTTCATGGACTGTAGGTATCTGCTAGAATAAATTGCCGTTTTTTTAGGGGAAATTGTGCAAAATTTGAATCACGACAGGTTATGTGAAGTTTTAAGCTCTTCTTGGTGATAAATTTGTTATCGAAAGCCACATTTTCGCTTCATATTTTGTGCCGATTGTGAATGACTATACCGAGTTTATTAACTTACTGGTTAGTTAAAGGTTTCTGAAGCTGAGATGTTTTCTACACGCCAGGATGGATATTAACTGGGATCGTTGTTATATTTGCCAAGAATCAACAAAAGAAGATTTGAGAAGCCCACTGGTTTAACGGTACAAGCATTAATTCATAGAACGCTCCTTGAAAATGTACTAAAAAGGCTGACGTGCGAAATAGGCATACATGTCAGAGGAACGCAAGAAGAAAAGTGGAGCAGCTTGGAAGGCCGAGGAAGACGAGAAATGAAATAAATCAAGAGCATTTGTTGAACTCACTGAGTACATAGCAAATGAAGTGGAGAATGATACACATTTCTTTATACTTGCTGAACTTCATATTAAGCTGTATTCGTTACAAACAAAGGCACACACTTTGCAGTTCCACTATAGTGTCAGTCTTACAAGCTCGTTTGGTGCCACAATCTCCAACTTGCTGTTTCTGATCTGCTTCAATATTCTTTTTTCTCTTTTCTAGTTTGCTTTTTCTTATTTGGACGTAAGGTGACAGGATTGATGGCACTTTGCACTTCAGTAACGTGTTTCCTACTGTAGTGATTTCAATATGAAACTTAATTGCAACAAGACGGCACAGTCCTCCTTCCTGAATTCTAGCAAATTGTCAAGGAGCGTTCCATAAATCATTGATCCGTTAAATTAATGGGTTTCTCAGATCCTCTCTTTTCGATTCTCACCCTAGGTAAATATGACAACGATCCCAACTGATTTCAATCTTCGTGTGTAGAAACGAGTTTAAACTCAATCATGATAAGACTGAAATCATGCTTATCATGTCGATGTACCGTACTCGTCCACCCTTTAGTGACGTCATTATGGGTAATGCAAGGCTAAGAACCACCACCAACAAAGCCTGGGAGTAGTATTTGATGACAACGTGCTGTTTGACGCACACGTCTTAGCATTTTTTTGCACAACATCGTTTCACTAACTCAGGAACTTATCAAAGATAAGAAAGTGTCTCACACGGGAGTCTTGCGAAATTGCAGTGCATGCTGTTATTACATCTAAAACAGACTATTAATTGCAATTCCTTGCTCTATGGTTGTAGGAAAATGCACTTGAAGGAACTTTTAATAATATGTTCAGAACACTGCCCCCAGGATCGTTACTCGAACTCGAAAACTTTGCGAACACATCATTTATTTGACTTTCACTGGCTTCCTGTTAGTTATCATGTTGTTTATTTTGTCAGTTTTCAAATCACTTAATAACCTTCCACATAGCTACCTAGCGGACAGTTATCGAAGGCCTTCCAGGAACTTGTGGTCCGCATCTCAGCAGGTCTTAGAACAACCTCGAAAACTCACGGGAAAAGACTTTTTCAGTGTGCCCCTAAACTGTGGAACTCACTACCATTAGCTAGATTTGCGCAAGTCACCATCTTTAGCCAGTTGAAAGAAAGGACTGAGAACATACCTTTTTACCCAATTTTTAGAGAGTAAGTCAACACTTTTGTAAAACGTCTTTAATATCTGCAGATCATATACCTATACTTATAGAATGAATATTTAGTTTTTTGCATGACTTATTATCATTATATATAAACTTTAAAGCCAAAATAATTTTAAAACAGATGAATTCTTAGGTTGTTTCCTTCTCTTGTTCTTGGTGAATTGCAAATAGATTTTAATATATGTTATTTCATGCTCGAGATATAATTTTTTTTCTCTTTAACATTGTAAAGCACCATGTACTCAGGATATGAGCGCTATAGAAAGAAGCTGTTTTTACTATTATTAATTTTAACCAGTACGAAAATAAACGCAGTATAGTCATTCATAATCGGCACAAAATGTGAAGAGAAAATGTGGCTTTCGATAACAAATTTATCACCAAGAAGAACTTAAAATTCACTTAAACCTGTCGTGATTCAAATTGTACACAATTTCTCCCCCAAAACGGCAATTTATTCTAGTAGATACTTACAGTCCATGAAAAGACACAGCCGCCACCTTGAAAGGCTATTTTGGACTGAGTACGCGTCCGAAAACATCTTCCTTGGATTTTCCATTTAGTTAACATGTTTTTTTCATTAGTTTCAATAATAATACAATTTCTTTTTTATTTCCATGTCCTTCATGTGATTTTCATCAAAATAATGGTAAAAAAAAGGAATTGGTATTTTTTTAGCACAGGGCACCCACCATGGTACATCATAGGTGCTATATCATTATGTTGACTTGTTTTAGTCATTGGTTTCATAATGATAGTATTAATACAGTTTCTTTTTCCATCTACTTCCCTTTTTATGTGATTTTCATCAAAAAAAGGCAAAAAAAAAGGGATTGCAATTTTCAGCACAGGGCACCCATCATGGAAGGTTGTTGAAGAACTTCAGCGAGCAGTTGCTGCAAATCCTGAAGAGGTAGCTGTGGGCACCGATCCTAATATTGACTAACATGCCCTAAGCTACAACCATGCAAAGTTTGGTGCTTTTGTCCGCTCTGTATAGATCTCGCCAAAATTTTGCACTAAGCCACCGGACTAAAAGTAGAAGCGACTGTCGAGCGTGGGCATAGAGTAAAATCTGAATGTTTTCGACACTTAGAGAATATTCAAGTTCTGACACACTAAGTCAACTCCCGATGAATATCCACAGAAATTATCAACGAAACCTCACCAGAGTATTTAGTGTTTGTTCAGAAATGCCAAGCGATTCTAAATAAAGGTTTCGTATTGTTGTGGACAAATTCTCCGCGCTTGCATTGTAAGCATATTCTTTAGAATCTTGACTCACGGGTATGGTTTTCAAAATACTAGATGCCCGGCAGTCGGAAATTCACGTCCAATTTACACGAAATATCTCATTTACTTTGTGTAAAAACTTCAGGAAGTTGTTTAGAAAACTCAAGCGATTTCAAATACTGCTTTGGGCTTGAAGTAGAGGCAACCGTCGAGCCTTCTTGACCCATTTTTGCCGTTCTCCTTGCCATCGCCGGATCATGAAGTCCCTATAGCATTTGTGTCACGCAATAAATTGTAGGGTTACACCGGAAGTTGAAGGGCACTCTTCTGCCGAGTCGACAAATTTCACGTTGTTTGTAACTCACAGGAACGTCTCCGGAGGATATCTGTTAAGACTACAGATCTTTATAATTTTACACACAAATTGAGTAGACTCAGCAGATGCCGAGAAAGATTTTAGTGAAAGTACCGGTGAGTCAAGATTCTAAAGAATATACTTAATGCAAGCTCGGAGAATTTGTCCACAACAATACGATGGTGAAGTTTCGTTGATAATTTCTGTGGATATTCATCGGGAGTTGACTCAGTGTGTCTGACTGCTGGGTATCTAGTTTTTTGAAAACAGTTCTTGGCTGCCGGGTATCTAGACACGTCAAATAATCAATTAGAAGCTTAAGCTTATATTAAGCTTAATATAGAAAAAGTTTTGCTTCTTTGATTTTAATCAATCTCTATAATTTTAAACTTAAATTAATGTGACTGTGTAGCATTGGTTATGAATGCTTGCTTCTCTTAATTAATGATTTGAGCCTATGAACACTGTGATATTCTAAATTTTTTTATGGATTATTTTGGCCAATTGATTGAAATCAATAAGGTTTCCAATGAGCAACCTCAGTCTTCTTGTAACATAGAAAGAGAAGTAGGTGGGTACAAAAGAAGGCAGGTTTGAAAGAACCTCAAATCTAAAACTTTTAACTCTTGCTTGATTTAAATTAAGAATCAATTTTGCATTCTTTGTAGCTGGCAGGATTATTTTTGAACTGTTTGCTGACATCTGTCCTAAGACATCTGACAACTTTAGAGCATTGTGCGCAGGTAGGGAAGGACGTATTAATGTAGATACCGGTACATATTCTACTTCTACCACTACCAACTACTTTATTAACATTAATAATAATAATAATGATAATAATGATAATAACAATAATATCATTTTTCATACATGGTAACCACATCAGTTACATATTACATGTAAATGTTAGTGTTTTAGAGTTGATGTGTGGTTGGCTGTACTCACTTGTAAGTGGGATGGGGTCATAATATTAAATTTATGGCCACTTCCTTCCACTGACTTACAATGCATTAAGACAAGGAGTCACGGACTCTTAAATGATAACACAGAAAAAACGAAAAGCAGACATTAAAAACTTTAGCAAGTGTATTCTAAAACTAAAGGTAATAACAGTGTTCCAGGTAAGAGATGGGTCTTGGGTCAATGACCAGACAAAGAAGGCTTCCTGACCCGACAGATGACATATAAGTTTTAAGTTAAATATGGCAAAAAAATTAGCGTGTGGTCTTGGTGACCCCTCAGATGGTCTACATGACCCCCCTCTTGAAATAATTAACTGGAACACTGAATAAGAGGCCTAAAAAAATGCCAGAATTGACACAATGATGAGAGACTACTGATAAACTAATGCAATAGTGTATAGTACTGTAAATTGCTGAACTTTTAAGGAAATTAATGGCTATTTTTTAAGTGATCAACTTGACATTTCATAGAAACTTTAAACAAGATTTTTTGGATTAACTTTGAACCTGTTTTTTAGGTGAAAAAGGTTTAAGCAGAACTTCTGGGAAGGCTCTTCACTATAAAGGATCAGGGTTCCATCGAGTTATCAAGGATTTTATGATTCAAGGAGGAGACTTTACTAAAGGTACTTTTATTTTTATATCAAGATGGTAAATGAAAAGGCGCACTTAAGCTAAAGGCTCAGATGGCCGGAGCTTTTCCTGGTTTCCTCAGCATGAAGCAGGCCTAGGAGTTTTGCTACCCCCCTCCCCCTCACCTTGGACATAATCGCTGGGTTACCCTCCAGCAGTATGTCACCAGTGCCCATTTATACACCTGGGTGAAGAGAGACCAAGTGGAGTAAAGTTCCTTGTCTAAGGAAACAATGCAGTGGGTGACTTTAAACCACAGACCTCCAGATCCAGAGTTTGAGATGTTAACCGCTTAACCACACATATCAAGATGGCTCAAATGGACGTTTCAGAGTTAGAGCCTTAACTATTGTCATTAGCAAAGATGCTGGAAAACAGTCTCCTTTAATAGCTGTACTATTACCTAGGAATTTGTTGTGACCAGGGCTCGAAATTGAAAAAATCCTCAGGTCGCCTTTTGGCAACCAACTGGAGAAATATAGTCACCAGATGCAAATTTTCAGTCGCCAGTTTGTATATGTAAATGACGCAGCTCATAGTCAGGGCTTCTGATATTTCGCGCCGTCGCAGAGCCGCGAAATTCACAAAAACACGCAAAATTCGGTAGAAACCTTATCAAATACATGTCTGTACAACATATTTGAAACTTTTCTCAGCTAATGGGGCTATTTACTTGCCGTAACCTTGTAAATTTATCTTGAAACTTCGTCACTGAAACGTGCAAACAACGTCCCGAAACTCCGAAACTACAAGGTGTAGATTATGTTGCGAAAAACTGGGCACTAGCCATGATGTTAAAGGCTTTGCCATAGGTTCAGTTCTGGAGCGTACTGTTGTTGAAAGAGCAAATGATGGCCTCTGCTGGAAAAACATTAAAAACGCTGGTCTGGTGAGCGCAAAACCGATCGATCTCCTGAAAATAACCACAAAATCGGCCTTTTTTGACCGATTGATTTTCGGCTCTGTTTGCCTCGAAAATTCCGGCGAAATCGGTTGATTTTTCCGCAAATTTGTCCCTAAAAATCCCGCGAAATTTGACTCTTTTTCCGCGACCTATTAGAAGCCCTTCATACCATGGTGCGATCCATCAGATTTGAAAATATCGTGGATAGATGTCGGTATAAATTTGGAGGTAAACTGGCTTTGTTTATGCGAGTTGGTACATTTTTTATGATGAAAGCAAAGCAGGATAAGATGAAATGTTTGTTTTAATTTTACTCTTTTAATTCTAAATCATAGAGAAATCTGGTCGACTAAACTAGAATTTTTAGTCGCCAAGGAGAAAATGTTAGTGGCATTGGCGACCGTATCAGTCACAATTTTGAGCCCTGTGTGACTGATGTTATTTTGACACAAGAGTTTTCATCACAATGTGTAAGTGGCTTGTAGCACTACGAGCTGAATGCAATACAGCATGTGCCGGATCGGACAAGAGTACCGGTTTGCAGGCAATATTATTAAACAGCAATGCAGCCAACAAGCTTGGGGGAAGTCACTGCACAGACTTAATTGCACCTCCAAGGAGTGTCTCTAGTTTATTTGATTGCATAGCACAAAACAAAGCCCATACCTTGATCGTCTCCAAAGGGAGGGAGGGAGGGAAAAATTTTACACGATTAGTGTACTGAGCACTTAAACCTTGCTGAACAATGGAACCCACGTGAACTCTGAACAGTTGTTCTTGGCTTTTATAGCCAGACGAATGTCTGCTGGCATAGCCAGTAGAAAAGGCTGTACTACAAGACCGCTCAGCATTACACATGCACACTCTTAGCCATGAATAGTGGTTTCAAAATACTGGCCAATGCTGTGGCTCGTACTAGCCTGCTTAAGACAAGAAGGCCGTAAAGTTCTACACTAGAATACAATGCATCTTAGAGCTTGCTGAACTTGACAACTACATTTTACTGGTGTTATTTTCCATATATTTTACTATTACTGGGGTTAAAAGAAAATCGTTCATTGTATCCAGGACTTCATTATATCAAGGTTCTACTGTTCTGCAATGACTCTTATCTCAGGGCTGTGGCAAAAATTTCAAGTTGCGGGGTAAATGCAGTTAGTAGGAGGGGAATTGTACTGAGCTAGGAATTAGTTCTTTTGGTTCTGTTTTCGTTTTGTTTCCTATAAGAGAAGCCAGGGCTCACACTCATAGTACCCAGGTAAAATCCCCGGCCCCCAGCTCATAGTGACAGCCCTGTATCTTCCAGTGAACTTACACCTCATGCAAATCTGCGTCTTACAATTTATTATCTTTTACACAAGACGTTCTCAGCTTTTGATTGGTTTATATTAATCTGTCAGCTAATAATTCAGCTTGTTCGTGATGTGGAGAATGAAACAATGTTGCAATATTGGATTATGTAATAACATTACAGATCTCAGCATTTAATGACACTCTTATTGATCTTCATTTAACTATAACAGTAAAAAGGGCTTAATTTGCTTACTGACACTAAGCAAATTACGCCCTTTTTCAGGAAACCCTTAATTTATTATTAATATTATAAAGCTGATCTAATGGGGTGTATATTTTTAACTGCTTATCTAAATAATCTAATTATGAAAATAATTAAGTTTTTTGTTAACTGGGGCTGAAACTTGTGAGAAGTACAAACATGTAATTGTGATAACTGCAGTGATTTGCTTGTCATATTAAGTTTTTCATTTTTTTTGTTTTCCCTATAACAGATGAAGGATTCCCTCTTAAGCACGAGACAGCAATGTTGTTGTCCATGGCTAACAGAGGTCCTAACACTAATGGTTCTCAGTTTTTTATGTAAGTATTTGATCTTTTAAGAGATAGAAACCACCCTATAAATTTGAAACCAAGTATGAAATTCAACTGCATCGTGCATGTAGATGTGTAGTATAAGTCAGGTCCTGATCACTCAAAGATTGGATGCATGTAGTGCTGTATAAATATTATTAATTATCACTATGGAGTGGTTAGAGTGTCATGAAATCCAATTGCCTTGCCCTCTGGATAGTAATTTACCTGATGAATAGCATTACCTACCTTCTGAGCAACTGGGCACTGTTAACTTAATTACGCTGGCAAAAATGGTTCAGTTCTTTTTGAATTTCCTGCTGTTGTCTAATTTTCCCCTCCTTTAATTCTCAATTCCTTCCTTTTCTCAAGGCCCCAGGTTCACGTTTAAAAGAGGGTCTATGTACTTCAGTGTATCAACTTGATAATATTAATCTCTATCCAGTAGATGATCCAGTTGTTTTCCCTAATTAATGTTTATCCACTGGATATTAATTTATCTGCTAAATAGCACCTGATCGAAGGAGTGAACAACTTGGGCCAGATTTCAGGTCTTCCAACTGGCATCTCCGTGATACATAACAATATTGTAGTGTGAATAAAGACAAAGTTTTAATGTTTTAAGTTTTTATAGTGTGTTTATTTTGCTTTTCACAAAACAACTCAGCCTGCCCCACATCTTGATGGGTAAGTTTTCTTTTAACTTGATTCAGCTGTTCTTACTGACAGAAAGGAAATTTCTGTTAGCATTATGATGTTATTGGTACAGACAAGACAGTGTTTCACATGGTTTCATTTTTTCAATTTCAATACACAAATATAAAAAAGGGCATCAAATTTTGCTATATTATTTTTCAAACATCTGAATTTTTAAAAGATGTCAAGATAAATGTAACAAACAAAATGCTTATTAACATTATTCCACAACAGAATAAAAATTACCAGTAAAACCAGTTAATAATTAAATTTTGTTGTCGATACACCTAGGCTCTACAGTAAAAACAGTTGTTGTTATTAAATCTTAATCATTTTTATATGATTTGAATTTTCTATGGGTATTAAATTAAAATTTTTTGCGTGTTTTCGTTTTGTGAGGATATTAATTCCCGAAACAAATTTCGTGAAATAAAAAAAAAATGTGAAATTAGGTAATGGCGTTGTACATGACTTGTACACATAATGCATTTTTGTTGCCACTCAAAAGCAAGTCACAGATCAATGATTACCCACACTTCAACAATGTTGCTCTTGCTTATATTGTGGTATATTTATTTTATTTGTAGGATTCATGTGATATTTGGCCAAGTATTGCAAGGTCAGGAAATAGTATCAGAGATAGAGATTCAAAGAGTTGATGACAAGAGTAGGCCCTTAGTGGATGTAAAGATTATCAACTGTGGTGAACTTATTCCAAAAGCAAAGGCTAAAGGTACAGGATATGTTTCCATTGACTAAATTTATGTACAGAACTGTGCTCTAACAGCCGTGCTGCCTGCTGACCCCTGGCATCATACTTTTGCTCTTGGGTGATGTCTTACTGTTATTTGTTAACTTTCAACTGCAGAGAAGAAAGCTGAAAAGAAAAGAAGGGAATCTAAGCGACATTCTGACAGCAGCTCCTCAGATACTGACTCTTCATCCAGTTCTGGATCAGAATCAGACAGTGATCAGTCATCAATTGATGAGCGGGAGAAAAAGAAACGCATAAAAAAGAAAAGGAGAAAAAAGATGAGTGAATCTGTAAAACGCAAGGACAAGAAGAAAGCAAAGAAGAAAAAGAAAGAGATAAAAGACAGGTAAGTGGCTGTAACTACACCACAAATACATCAATACACAAACATTTAACAAATACATACAAAAAGTGCAAATCTGGTAAAAATGAATACTGTGAATAAAATAATTAATGACTTAATAAAAAAATGCATAGACATCTAATTTCAAAAATTAACATTGTTCGCAAAAAGTACAGCATTCAATAATTCATTCATTACACTCAAATGACAACATGTACTTGTAGATAGATTTGGTTGAGTAGCAAAAAGGACTGATAGAGCCACTGTGCCGAGTGCAGAGCATAACCATGGCAATCAACATGTTGAATTCCAAACAAGTTGAGGAGTAAGGGCAAGTCAAAGAGGTTAGGGAGAAAGTAGCCTGTGTAGCAAGCGTTTTTGTGTGGTTTCGGAGCAAAGAAAGATGGAGGAATGACATGGAACAGGATTTTTGGTTTTGGCCGCACCAAAAATAGAACAAGAGCAAACTCTTGCTACGCAGGCTAGGGAGAAAGAAGAGAAAACAATATATTATTTTTTCTCCCCTCCCCCTTCTTACATCCTTTTTTTACCCCATGACTAGTCCAAGAGTTGCTATTTCTATTCTCCCCTGTCTTTCTCAGTGGTCAAAGATGGCAGCCATGGCAATGCAGACAAGCATTTTTTGCCCACCTTAAAAATTTGTCTGCATTGCTGGCTTCCCTGAGAGTATTTACACATACCTCGCACTAACCCAGGGTTATCTTAACGCAGCTTTGAACAAACCTGGCCAAGTAAGTGATAAGCAAAGGAATCTGTGGCTACATTTGAGATCCCATATTACATAATAATGTTGCTTTTACGCCCCCTTCCCTGTTAGTGAAATATTGACACTAATATCAGCAATTAATTTGAATTCCAGTCCAGGAGATGCTAAACCAAAGAGTCCTGAACCTTTTAGTTCAGTGGCTGTGGATGAGATCCCAGATGTACTTTGGAATGGCAAGACAACTAGATTTCATCCACGGACTCAAAACTAAGAACTGCATTTCATCCAACATGCCTGATTACACACTAAGGTAATGGTACCATGTGAAAGTACTACTGATGGAAGAGGTTTCATTTGAATGGTCACACCATAGGATTTCATTCACAGACTCAAAAATTAAAACTACATAGTACCATATGATAGCACTGCTCAATTGATTCTGATGGCAAATGGTTCAGAAAAAGTTGTTCAGATGTTGAGAGATAGATGGCAGCAGTATCTTCAAGTTGTTTATATTATTTACTGTTTGTATGACCACAGGAAAATTAAGTCTCCTCCAGGGTATAAAGCTCCGCCTCAAAGTAAGTCACAGGAAAGGACCAGGGTATGTACACCTGCTGAAATGATATTGTTTGGGAGATCAGTAGACCTTATTTCATTGTATCCACCATCTTCGCATGCACTTCAGGACTGATAAATCACGTGACATTGCATTTATCCCATCAACCCTTGAACGCGTGCGAAAATGGTGGTTGTTGTGAATAAGGGCTATACCTTCAATAGAAAATATCCACAATTATTAATAGCGGAGCGCGCGCGCAGCGGAGCACCATGGGTAAGAAAATTTGGTAAACTATCCATCCCAGAAAATTTGGTTATGACGTAGCGTACGCCCACCCGTACACACACTTCATTTAAGCCGATGTCAAATGTCACAATAGATCTTGCACAACTTGACTAGCCTTTCAGTTATGTAAGCCATCCGTATGAGTACGATTAGATTGACAGCTGTCAAAATCAGACATCCGCTGACAATTATCACATGACTATGTCGCGGGCTCAGATGAAAGACCAGTCGTTTTGCCCCTACATATAAGCTGTTATAAAATGTCACACTTGCCAATTCAACATAAAACAAAACTACGCCGGGCAAGGCTGTCAGTTGGCTGACAGTCGTTTAAAGTTATATTGGGAAGCCAAATTAAGGTCAATTGACAGCTGTCAAAACAGGACATGTGCAGACCAGTATCAGAAAACTAATAACGTGGGCTCAGGTTCGCTGAGGTACACGATCTTGCATTTTCTACTACAAGCCGGACGGATATGCCTTACTCACACTCGTAGTCTGTTAATTCGAATATTCGCCAATCTAATTAAGGTTAATTGACAGCTGTCAAACTAGAGTATACGCTGACCATCATCACCTGAGTTTATCGCGGGCTCATTTTTCTATCCATTGAGTTCACGTAGTGTTTAAAGTTTTGCGCTGATATTTTATTTGATCACGTGCTCAATTCGAAGCCCCAGAGGTTAGAAAATCTATGCATCCTACAAAATTCGGCAATCACGTGACCTTACACCGACCACCCGACCGTCCGCGCTACAGTCATACCAATGTTTAACCTCACACTTTCTAGCTAATTTGAGAGCCTACAACCTGATATTGTACATCCATGTTTTGATTAATTGACAGCTGTCAAAATAGTGTTTCTGCTGACCAGTATCGCCTGACCGTATTGCGGACTCAGGTATCGACCCACTGAGTTTGAGTAAGTTGCTGACAAGTTGCTACTTTTCACATGATCGCAGGCTCTAGTTCAATTTTTTTTAAAATGCATATGAAATAAGTCGTGTTTATGAGTCCGTTTTAAAATTTTGATTTCGAACTGACTTCGGACGCGAAAATTCAACCCGCTTTTACATGCAGGTTAGGCAATCGCTCTTGACTTTTCTCACTGTCACGCGTTGATCACGCTCTACGTCCAACTTTTATGTTCTGATTGGTCAAAATTTGACAGGTGAGTTCATGCGGAAAGTTTATGCAGCGTCTGGAAACTTGCTTACTGATAGCTGGAGCTGACAGAGTTTTGTGTCATCTTGTGATGTTTTAAACTGTCGTTCTCTACTTGGTCTACAAAATGAAATACAGCTGCTAGCAAGATTGTTCTGTAATTCATGGCTGATTTGTTTATTGCGCTTTATGTTGACAAATGCACCGGTTGTGAAAGTCATTGGAAATCCGATTTCGGATGGCATCGTTTACAAGAATGAGCTTCCTCACTTGTCCTTGCTTGAGGCGTAACAGGGTTGAAAAGTCTCCAGCGATTCTGGAACACTTGATGACCTTCAGAAGCAGCATCTCGACTGGTAAGCCTGAGCAATTATTGTCTTTGATGTGTTTTTTTTTTCGGTTTCCTGAAGTCGAGCGTATGGTTTATGCGGCTTAAGTTTATACACGAGCGATGATCTAACCAACAATAGTATCAGGTTTAAAAAGCCTTTAGACATTTTTTGACCGCAAATTCAAAGAAAAGGTTCCAAAGATTATTTAGTTATGATTTTGGCTATAAACAGAAAGCTCTGAGCGATTTTCTTGCCTCGAGTTCATCTTGAAAAAGAGCAAACACCGGGAAGCCGGCTTAAAACATAAACAAGTTTATGCTTACCTGACTCATGATTTTCAGAGACACTTTACTCTCAATACTTCTCTTCGTGAATGAAAATCATTGTCTCTGTACATGTTTCACCGAATTATATTTATTTTATTGATTGTTAGTAGTCCCTCCCGCAATTTTTATCGCTGCACCGGTTGTTTGCAGTCGAACATAAACATCGCATACAGGAATACTCAAAACGCCGCGCGTAAATATCACTCGCTTTTAAAGATTACACATAACAAAACCACATAAACAGTTTAATAAATAAAGGGAAATAAAACCTAAACATAGCAATTTCCCTATCGTGTTGAAGCGTAAATGGTAACTCTATTAATCGCACTGCAAATTTGCCTGTCAAAAGTGAGAACCCGTCCGGCTGGCCGAAAAGGTGATTTTGGGAATTTTTTTTATCGTTTTCATGCGAAAAGCCCATAATTATTACCCTGCATATCACATAGGATTAGATTTTTCTAACGGAAAAGTCCCGCATTATGGAATTCTTTTCATGAAAACGTTTGATAATTCAATGCTATAATTTGTTTTGCAAAGGAAGCGCTTGCTTTGACGTCGTGGATATTGAATGAGTGCAAATTGTCTTACAAAATTGTGAAAAACAACAGAATGATAGGGCACAAAAAGAACAAATTCTGTCCAAGGTCTGTATGATAAAAAAGGGCCTCATAGTACTGTTTACCGGAGACGTGTTGAGAAAAAGTATGTTTAAAAGGCTGGTTTACACGCCACCAGATTTACTTGTAAACTAAACTTGTCGAACACAAAAAATCCGGCCTGATTTTTTATTTTGGCCTCCCTTTTAGACAGATGAATGCAACGTGTCAATTGGCTGCCACCAAGGACTATTGTGGCTCGTGTGGTTCTTAAAATTATATTTCGGGGTTGTCCAAGTATCCATAGTCTCTCTAACGGAACATTGTTGGAGAGACTGGTGAATGCGACATTATGATGCAACAGCTAATGCAAATACAATACACGAATAGGTCTATTTGTTTTCCAGGCCTAATCTACTGTGATCGAACATGATTGCTATTTTTGGGTGTACAAATAAGACTATTAACGCGATGTAAAATTTGTTTCACTCTTGGACTGTCAAATTATTTTTCTCTAAAATCACTTAGCCTAAATTTGCCTCAAAAGTCACATGACTGTGCCCTATCTGTGGATTACAAGTTTATTGTTTGATTTAAATTATGAATTTATTAACGGGAGCTTCGCTTTTAGCCCTGGCTAAATCTATATGTTAAAACAATTACATCCGAGTCTTTTGGTTCTTAAAATGAAGCTTGGATTCTGCGGGTAACTATTTTTCTTTCTTTTAACACAATTATAAAACTTTTTACCCTCTATCATCTATCTCTGTCTGTTTTTCTTATCGGCAGGTTTCCAGGTCGGGAAGGATTCTACGAGGACGAGGAAATATGGTGAGGAAATTCCCCGGGTATTAGTTTAAACTTCCTCACGAGAAAAGTAATACACCAGTAG